GGGCGCCCCGGGGCATCGCACGCACTCGCGCTCCCGGCCCGGGGCTGGCCGCCTGCCGCCAAGGTGCGACGGAAAGTCTTGGTGTCTCTCCCCAGATGTGCGAGAAGTTTACCGTCTGCGAGAACAGCATGGAAATGCTCCTCCAGAACAACCTCAACCTCCCCAAGGTGACGGAGGAAGATGGGTGTCTGCTCGCCGGCTTCGATGAGGCAAGGAAACTCTCTCCTTTCTGGTCTAATCCTATATGCCTGGGGCAATTCTTGCCTGCTACAAAAACCTGTGGAAGATGACCTAAAGATCTGTGCCAGCTTCAGCTGGCGTTGGCCAGACCTCCACACTCTATATCATCGTCTGCTTACTTGCACAGAGCATTGCAGTCAAAGCGTTTTCACCTGTAAGTGACTTTCTCACCTTTCTTTCATTTCAGGATAAATGCTTGAAAAAAATCTCCAGTGGGCTTTACATGTTTCAGACATACCTCAAATACGTACAAGAAACTTTTACTAGTGAAAAGCAAAATGTTGAATCACTGTCCTATACTACAGAGCACCTGGCACGTACCATAAGACAAATGGTGAGTCGGTTTTAAATTCATTCTGATAATAGTCAGAGCCAGAGTGAATTTGAACATTTCCCACTTTCAGTTCTCTCAGTGGAAACAGGTGACATTTCCTTATGCTCAGATTCTTACCCTCATGACTAACTTAGAGGTTTTACAAGTTTTTGCTTTCTTTTCTTAAAGAAACAACTTTTCTTCCTACTTTCTACTGCTATTTCTGATTTCCAAACAGAATGCATCATAGCTTTAAGAGCAAATACATTAATGCTGCCTCACTGATTAGATTTCTCAGGAAGCTCCTTCTAATTGTGGAACTGCAGATCAGCCCATGCCTTCCCACGTTGGAACTCCTTGAGAAGCAGAAATCAGTAACTTTTCTAAAAAGTTCACATGCAAAAAAAAATACAATTTTACAATATTATTGATCTTTAAAACTCTCCAAAACGAAGTTTTAAGCCAAGCTGTATGGTATTTTGAGATGTCAGCATTATTCTCAATGTACCAGGCAGCTGCCTATTGAAAAGCACATACTTTGCTTGTGATCATCATGAAATAAATATGTTCTTTCTTTATAACTACCAAATTGTCTTTTGCTTTGGCAAACTAAATGCTGTTAACTTCTGACAGACATTTTCCATGTTTTGGAGAGCTTTGACAGATCAACTTCAAAAATTCACTTAATTCCTGTAGTTCTTATGTTAACAACCCTTAACATGAATACTTCCTTTGTCACTGGGGAAAGTATTTGCTCAGTGAAAATCATTCAGGTCAGGACTGCAGAAGCTTCAGGGCATTATTTCCTTCAAGGTGTTTTTTGGTGGGTGAAAAGCCTATTGTGAGTTTGCCATACCTTTCCCAACATAAAAGTAAATATGTTACTTATGCCCATCATTCTGTAAGTGAAGGGAAGCTGAACTGCTTTTTTCACACCGTGCTAGCCAAGAGTAATAGTCCCATCATAAGACAGCAACTGACCACTGGCTTCCAACTTGATATATTAGATTGTGGAAAGTTTATTTCATAACTGAGGGAGATTAGGGTTGTGTTTTGGTTTTTTTTAAAAAATTAAACAGAGTGATCAAAAGCAAAACCTGTACTTGTAGAAACTACAGAGTTTTTGAGACCAAGTCTTGATCTTTAGATTGGAAATTTTTTCTACGAGAGAAAAAACTGCTATTTAAGGCAAGAAGAGCAAAGGCACAATCTGACACTTGTGGTTAGACAGATCCACCAGCACAATACCTGTCTGGATATCCCAGATACAAACTTTGTTACAGAGTGCAGGAAGGAGCTGAGTATACCACTAACTGGAAGTGTGATCAGAGTCTACTTCCAAGTAGTCTGTACAGAAAGAACATTTGTATGTTACCTTTCACAAAACAAGTACTCCAAGAGGAGGTTTGCATGCTTTTGTCACTTGTTAAAGGGTAGGAGAGATTCTAAACCCAGGATGAAGCAGACACTTGTTAGAATTTTGAACTCCATCTAAAATTACTCCATTAGTAACTCCCATTTTCAGAAGTCACCTATCCACTTCCTGGGACAAAGATCTTAAAAGGTCTTTAGGTACCAGATGCCCAGAGCTGTGGGTCAGCATTAGGTAAATTCCTCCTTTTACTTTAGCTGGTTGGGAACATACAGACTGATGCTCTCCAACGACTTCAATTACAATGCTTTAACCAGGGACCACCCAATATTGTCTTTTTCACAGGTGATCAATCCCGATGAAGTGAACATCCCAGATGCAGCTACCCAGGAATCCCTCCGTGCAAAGCTGAAGTCCAGCAAGGCCTGGCTAGAGAAAATCACTACCCAACTCATCCTCCGAGATTTTACTTCATTTCTGGAGAAAACAGTGAGGGCCATGCGCTACTTGAAAAACACCAGGAGTTTCAGTGTCTGAATGTTTTAGTTCAGGCACAATCCTTTGTTACAAATCTGTCATGTGGCAGATGACAGTGTTGTTCTGTTTTAAGAACCAGTTTTAATAACAATGGTTTGCATTTCTATACATTTTCATTTCCTTCCAGGAACTTATTTATTGTATTTAAAATATTTATTAGTTTCTAATTTTTCTTATTTATATTTCCAGTATTTAGAAATAATTTAAACAAAGGGTATATTTTATTTCCCTTCTAATGGTACTATTCAGAATATCAACTTATTTAATATGTATTCCACAAAAAATATTTTCAGAACCCAGAAAAATTTTCATAATGTATGTTTTTAAAATATTTGAGAGATGCTATTTATGACTTATTTATATTTTTAGAACAAATAAAAGCTGATTTTAAAAAAAAAGATCTGTATAAGCTGTGTGAACTTTAAATAAGACTAAGGCACTCTAATATACCCAGTTTTTAATACCTGCAGTTATCAGAATAACCACTTTCAAGAATTTATCTGTATAATTGAGTCAGTTACTTACAAAGCACATGCATACACTCGTACACAGACATCCTGATCAGCAAACATAATTCTTAAAAGGGGATATAAAGGAACCAGATGCACTGAACATGGCCCTTCAAAATGAACATGATAGGCCATCATTGCGCTTGAGAAACAAATGAACTTGTAAGTCCTCTGAATTTAACAAGGAACACTCCATAAACTTGTAATTGTAAGGATCTGCTTACAAGTCTAACAATCTCTCTTAGACAAATAAAATGATGAGGCAACCACATTAACCACTCTGACATGAATTTTATCAACTGATTTGTTTTATTGCAGTCATCCAAGGGAATTTTCCAAGTTAGATTAAATGTTTCTTCCTCCTTCCTCAGGAAGCAGAAAAAAAATAAATCTTAGGTTCTTTCCTCAGGCAATAAAAATCAACATACTGCTGCTGAGATGTCAATGACCATTGATGATCTATTGCATTTGCCTTTTACAATTTATATTCCACTAGCATGGACAGGCCACATACCACAAATGCATATTCTTGAATACTGTATAGGAAAAAACCCCAGGATCTTTGCCTGAATACCAAATCACTGACACTTTCCTTAGCAGCATCCTCTGCAGCACTGGAGCTGTGCAGGTACCTCCTACACCCAAACTCAGAAGAATTCAGACCACAAAAGGGACACAGGCAGCAGAAGTCCCTTAAGTTTTGTCCCTAAAATTGGTGGAATATTAATTACCCTCTCTCTTTCTTCTGGCACAGTGGTGAAGATGAGGAGATGAAAGGCATGCCCTGGAATGTGGATAAGGATGTCAGTAAATTCTCCTCTTCCTCTGAGCAATCTGATTGTCCACATACACGTTGCACCTTTGGGGATGCCATAACAGTGACAAGTCCACATGCTGCCCAACATCTCTGAGGCTCAAAACAAACCAAACCACTGTTTTGCCCAATATGGTAAAACTGTCATTTCAAGCAGTGCAACATCCTGAGAAAGAATGAGGAGACCTCAAAGTGGTCACTTTAGAGATGTCTGTGGTGAATGTTTTTTCTCACAGCACATAAGATCCTGCTTTAGCTGCCCTGGCCCGTGCTTTAGGAAATGCAGGAAAGCCTGGTTTGGCTTTTTCACCACTTAATTTCACAGAGATTGATATCTTTAGTGACCACTTGTTAATAGATTATTCCAGCCCTTATTATGTCAATAATAGCTGAGACCCAAATGTGGATCCCACACTGGACCTCAGTACTATGTGAGAACAGAGGCAGGGGGGAAAGACTAACCAAAAGGAAAGGCATCTCTTGGTTTCACCACCCCAGCAAGTTGCTGCCAGAGATCCCCATTAGTTTCTACATATGCTGCAGCTTAATCTCAGACTGCTCTCTTTAAATGCCAGAAAGCATCTAAGAATTGCAGTACTTAAATCCCAGGGAACTGATAGACAGGTGCCCACACTTCCCACCAGCACTCTTCAGCTGGCAGCCACCCCAGGTTGTCTGCAACTCTAGGAAGGATGTAAACACTGCTACATTTCAGGTTGCAGAAGATGAGCAAATATTACCACTTGTTGGGTGGGGAGGTCAACTTTCACGTCCTTCCTGGAGCGAAGGGGATTGCTGGTGGTGCCAGTGAGCTGCCATTATTTAACCTGTGGCTCCTCCACAGCCATCTGCAATTCTCATCTGCCTTGCTGGCAATCGTTTTGCTGTCCCTGTGCTAACTTCAGGGACTGCCCCCAGAATAACCTGAAACCAACACTCACAGGTGCTTGCAGCACATGAAGATTTGCAGTGGGGAATTCAGATGGAAGACAGAGGAGACCTAAATACTGTTGAGCATGTTACGAGGCCTCTCAAATGAGCCAACCTGGCATCCATTTTCCAGTCTACTGTGTAGAAAGTATTTTACAACAATCAATAAACACACACAGGCATTTAATTTAGTTGGCAGACCAGCACAAACACACACACACAAAAGAATAGTAAAAATGAGCATTCCTAACTACATTTAGCAACAGACAGACCTCAACACTTCTATTGGAGAGCTCCTCCTAACTGACAGCTAACTCACTGAGCAAGAAAAAAAACCCCAAAACCCCAAAACCAAAAAAACCCCAACACAAAACAATGCAAACAAAAAAAGACCTGCTAATAGTTACCTAAAAAAATTAGGAAATGACCCAACAAGCAGCATTTTGGCTGCTGCTCTACCTGCCCAGCCTCTCCCTGCAGATCCCAGTTAGCCCTTCTCCACATTTCCATTGCATCCCTACTCATTAACCTCACACAGAGATTCAGGAATGCTCAACAGATTACCAGCTCCCTTCATCCTGAGTTTGATTTCCCAATGAAAGAAGAGAGTAAAGCTATGCTGAAAAGCATGCATACACGCTGCAGTATGCAAGAAAAGGCCCACAGTATTAAGAGACAGTGACAAAGGTGAGAAACAAAATATTCCTGAAAGAACAACAGCTACTGTGTTGAACAACAGACTGCCTGCATCTTTACTGCCTTCACAGGTATTTATTAACAGCTGATGGTAAGTGAGGTTAGAGAGATTGACCTGATGCTACAAGACTTGGAAGAGTTACGTCACCAGTGAAGCATGGGAGCAGGACCACTTTTCAGCAGTAATGAGCCATTAGGTTATCTGAGCTTGATGGGAAACTTCCCCCTAAGTTTGCCACTGTTAGTTGTGACTAACAGTCTTTTCCACATTCAATTTAAAAGATAAAATGCTGGAAAGGTAAGTATACAACAGTATACGTCAAAGTCAGATCCTAATGGTCAAGACATGCTGCCAAATATATCTATATCTATCTATCTATATCTTACTACAAACCTTGTGATATTGGGTGGGAAGCTTTCTGTAAACCCTTGCTTCTCAAGTCAAATGCTTAGATAACAATTTCTGACATCTCTCAGTGAATTTCTTTCCTCTTCTTGATAAGAAGAAAAACAGAACCCACCCCCTTGCTCCCAAAATATGCAACCTCCACAGGCTCCAACACAGAAGTACCATTTCCTGCCTGAATTCCTAAGAAAATCAACTAATTTCTGTAATCTAAACATATTTAACCAAATCTTGGTATACTTTCAAGTCTGATTTTAGCAGTCATCAGAAAACACGGTGCATAAACTTTACAATCTGAATCTCTTCAGTGACCAGAATCTAAGATTCAATCTTCCATGAGAAAACCTATTTCAAAAAAATTTAAACTTTCAGAGTCAGAAAACTGAGATTTGCCCTGTCATAACACCCTTTTTCAGTTAACAGGTATCATTTTAGAAAATACCCACTTTCCCCTTCCACTCTCCACCTCACCCATCCTTTAATCCTGAATTAACATAGGCATAACCAAGAAACAATGCATGTAACCCACAAGCTTAACCAAGAAATGGCTATTGCATCGCACACCATCACGGAAAAATATTTAGAAATTGCAATCCAGTGGTCATTTGTAAAAATTATATTAGTCATATGACATTTAACAGGATGTGGTCTCTGCTCCTGTGGTGAAAACAGATGCAATGAACTTTTATTTCCAAACATCATCATTATCATCACTGCCTGAAATTCCAAACCTTTAACAAAATATTTCCAAAAATATCCAGGGTATAGAGTTTGGTATAGCATTTTTTTCCTGATAAAAGCCAGTGTTGTAAGATCTCAGCTTCACTTACAACACAATGCAAAAGTCTAGATCTTAAGCAGCACTTTGTCACCTACAGCTGTACAAAGCAGCAAGGGACAGGTTTCATACACTGCCAACACGGGGCCTGCTGGGATGAAATTCTGAATGCTGCTTTGGCCTGCAGAGTTTACATGTTTAAAAGCTATAGTTTAAGCTAATAGGGGGTTCGGTGATTCACTAATTCAAGAAAATACGCACGGACCCTCTGTTTTATAATTGTGACGAGACACAGTACACTTACTCTGTACCAGTCATGTCTACACCAGGAATTTGTAGCAGAATCAAATGCCTGTTCCAAATTTCCTATCACCTTCATTTTGTGTCACAACTTGTCAGGTCTTGAAGAGTTTTTGGAGCAAACAAGTATGTTCCTTTCAGATTTACTTATCAAGAACAAATTTATAAAGCCAGATCTTCTTTTTTGCCTTTGTTTAGTGATGTCACTAAACACATCATTTTTTCACACCCTACTACCAGGAGATCCAGTCCACACAGCAAGACCAAAAAAACCACCAAACTCACAAGACTCCTTCAGGATCACACACCAAGTGTCACAGGGCTCTGTGACTCCTTCTCTGATGTGGATACCTTTTTCTCAGTTCTTACTTCACTAGTACCTTTAAAAGTCTTGTCTATTTTTTCTATCCTTTGTTCTTCTGACTGACCTCCTTGTCTTTATTCTTCTTTCCCTTCCCTTCCTTCCTCCTTGTCTCTCAGCCCATCTTTATCCTCCTTTGCACTGTGCTCTCGCACCAGAGCCACTTCTCAGAGCTGAGCTGGCAGGAAATGCTTTGCTGAAGGGTCTGTCACAACTGAATTCCGAAGAGTTGTACCCCACTGCTGTTGATTACCAAACAGTACCAGGTT